TCACAAATTCTGGCGCGGTGATTACCAGCCATCACGTTCCGAATACGTGTATTCTATTTGCAACTCGAGCCCGCGCAAATGCGGAGCCAGAAGTTTTCTATTCGAGGCCGCAGGCATTGGATCCTTCGAACATTGAGGTCGGTGTTCCGCAAGATGATGTGACATTGGTCCCGGGAAAAGTGTCGGAAGTACGCACCATTTTGGAAGGTACAAGCGACGCCACTCCCGAAGAACGCACAGCTAGCAGCAGTGCCGCAAAGAAGGAAGAGATGGAGGCAAATCGCAATACAGCTGTACCACAGATCGAGAGTGGATATTTTCTACATCTTCGAACTTTCAGCTGCGATAAATGCACGACACTTTCCTTAGCAGGAATGGCATCTTGTCATCGATGCGGAGTAGTATTTCAGAGCAATACAACAGATGGACCGATTTCAAAGTTTATGCGACTTCAGATGAGGCGTGCAAAGGTGCTACAAGAGCAGGGGGGCGTGCCCAAGAACATGACCGCAACAAGCATGCTTGACAGCATTGCCGCGCAGGACCTACAGTCTGGACGACCTCCAGCTCGTGGCAGCCCGTCAGTTGACAGTCAGATTATTCTTGCAGCTCGCAGTCGCCTTCGCAAAGCATTGAAATCAGGGTATGAGAATGTATTCGATCGATTCAACCGCGACGACGTCTTCGCCACCTCCTTAACCGGAGAAGGATGCACAGCGTTTGATGCAGCGCAAGAAGACTTGTTTGCGTCACTGCAATTACCGGCACCCACGAGATCAGCGAAGCAGAGATCAAAAGGGAAGTCGGTTGTCAGTGATTTAGATCGACTGGACAGGGTTGACCTCGCCAAGCTCGCGTATATTCGATGCGGTGTTGACAACCTACATACCTGTTTCAAGCAAGGCGTCGACGAGAACTTTCTGATCAGTTATCGCCGAGAGTTTATGTCACTCCGACAATACGCCGCCGTAATTGGCGATAGCCGAGATGAGATCAAGATCCAGGGCTTTATCCCCACGACGGACGTCTATGGCGATATTCATTCAATTCGTATTCCTCGTGGAGACACGACAGGCATTTACAAGATTTTGAGTGAATTTGCAGAGCAGAATGAGAATTATGCAAACATTCAATATCAGAGAAACGCGCAACAGTCTGCAAATGTGCAGGGACGCGATCGTGGACAGCCAGTTTCACAGATGGGCTTCATGAACATCGAACAGCGCATGGCCACGCCTTATCCCAAGTTTGCCGATTGTGGCCAGGACATGTCGTCTGACGAAGTCAGAAGGTTGGAAGAACTTTTGTTGGAGTTTGGACAGCGTGGATCCCCATCTCCTCAAGGACCTGTAACAAGGCCCCCGTTGACGCGGAAGCGATCGCAGATGTATATGGAGACTATTGGAGATGCAGACAAACGACCGAGGCTGCAGTGGAGGAGGAAAGAAGACCGAGATCAATCTGGTCGTATTGCAACTTGGGTTGACAACCGGACTCCACCGCCAGGCGTGCCTCAGCCGCCAGCTCCCGTAACAGGGACGCATACCTCGTCGGTATTCAGTATGAATGCACCTCCTGCTCAAGGACAAGTTTCAGGAAAGGGTGACTCCTCTAAACAGGATGTCGGTGAACGGAGAGATGTTTCTGGAAAGGGCAAAGGCCAAGGCAGTTCTTCGGCAGCAGGCTCAGCCGCTCCCGCAAAAGGGACGCCGCGTGGTTCTGTCGCCCGAGCAATTTCCCAGAGCCGTGTCCTTCCACCTAAACGTGGCAACATCCCCAAGGACCTCTTGGGTCCCCCAACTTCACCGCCACCGTTACCAGCACCCAACAACCCACCTGCAACTGGCCTTTCACCAATCTCCAAGCCACGTCCAGCAAAACCTTCACCTCCGAAGGTCCCACCACCAAAGGTGCCTCCTCCAAAGGTTCCTCCACCGAAAGTGCCACCCAATACAGCCAGTGGCATTCCGGTACATACAAGGCCGACAGATTTCAATCTCACGCCGAAGCCGCCGCCGCTTACAGACCTTTACAGTCGGTTGCAACCTTCCGTAAAAGGAAAGGGCAAGGATAAGCAGCAGGTGAGTGTTCGAGGAGGACATTATGCTCCACAGCAATGGAATGTACAAAACGTGCCACCGCCGCCATTGCCACCCGGAACTTCATCCGCTTCGGCATCATCGTCACATAATGCACCCTTAACTGGGCCGCCGACTTCCAGCATTCGTGGAACTATTGATCGACCATTGGAACCCTTTGATTTTCCTGGAGTACAATGGCAACGCGATGACCCATGGGGCGAGAACTATTGGCCCAATCACATGGAATTGTGGGAGTGGTTGAGGCAGGGATGGCATGACGAGACGGAGCGTTTTGGAATACAATTTCTTTAAGCAGATGTTGAATAGCTACCATAAATGGTATGCCTTGCAGCTTATGAGTGTTGAGATAAAGATCACCTTCTGACGCGCTGTGAGATGATGTTTCACTTCATTGTCTCACTTCCCAATGCATCCATAACAGGATTGCCATAGTCGGAGAGTGAACTTTTAATCAATGCTTAACACTAACCTGGGCCTAGCATGTTTAACCACATGCCGAGTGAGGCGAAAACTGTACATTAGGGTAGCTACGTTCTCCTTGTATAGTAAATGCACGAGCTTGATGAGGGATTTCTAATATGATTCCTTCGTCGCTAGAATTTGATCCTCCCCGAGATTTTCCCTACGGGTAGCTCCTTGTAAAGGGGGTGTTGAAATTCACCTCATCCCCATGGACCCCGTAGCGTTGACTCTCAAGGTAGAGCAAAAGGTAGCGCTTACCGGACTAGCAGGGTTAGCTAGGTAGTTAGTACTATTAGAGCTGATCCTGTAAAATACATATATGTATCTGATCACATCATATTTCGCGTGTCGAGCATTGTCCACCTGACTGCCTTGTCTGACAAAATAGGTGTTGACAGCTGTTTCTTTGATGGGACATTGGAATGCGTTGCTTTGCTTTGGCCCATGGGTTGAGAGTAGGGAGGCACCACCATTTCTTGCTTTGGATCCTATCCCACAACTTCAGAGCCATAGCCTACAGAAGGAATGATGGAGCCACATGCTGTGTTGGTCTCAAATTCGAGTCTTCCAAGACTTCAGAAGTGCAGTCTCACTCTATGTTCGGCTGCTCAGGATGTCCGTTTCAATTCTTCTTGCCACTGACTAGTCTTGAGCCTTCAAATGACCACTGCTTTGTCGCAGCTCAGTTACTTGCGTTGTAGACCTCAGAGCATTTGTTTCTTCATGAAGCCGTGGAGACCTTTGTTCCCATGAGGAGTCCTGCAAGCCGTTTTCCTTTTTGGTAGATCATCGACCTACATACAGCCTGCAAAATGGTGTGCAGATTTGCTCTCCGTGACATTCAGCAACACAGGAAGCAATACAGAACTCCATCAAGACATGTTTATCCTAGATGCAGTAGCATTTGATTTGAGAAGCAAGTGTAGCATGCAATGCGCCCCTTCCATCGCTCCATTCCGCCAGCCAAGGCGTTTGCGCTGGAGTTCATCGTGCCCCGTGACTCACAGTTTGTTTATCTCGCTCATTTCTGAGGGTAGCAGTTTCAAGTTTTGACTGAATCAAATCATTAGATAGTTTTCAGCAGCTGATCATAAATAAGTGTACAAAGATGCCGCAGCTTCAAGTTGCGCGGGTAAAAGGATCCCAAAAAATGATTGCACTGCTTGACTTCTTGTTAATAAGCAATAGGGGTTGTTACATGTTCTTACTTCAAGAATCTTCTAGCACCTTCTAACCTGAATAAAGGTGTCGCAGGAACTTTCGGAGCAGTTTGGAACCCAACTCTGGAATCAGGCTTTGTCTGCAACCTTTTTTAAAACCGGGGAAGTGTGGATTAGGCCACAACTATTGGCCAACGGTGGAACCCAGCTCGCAACGTGTTCCCTCACTTTGGAATCCTGTGGCTTTGGCCAAGTTTTGATCTGATGCTTTTTCTTTGGAGCCAGGACTTGAGAGCAATTGTCCACCTCAAAGCCTGAAACGAAGATGAACGAAGCATTGATCGAAACTTGTGCACGAAACCTCAAGACCGAGCTTTGGAACCCTGTTATATAGCCGGACAATCTGGAACTTTGGATCCAGGTGTTTATTGCAACTTGGAACCAGGCTTTGATCGCATGGAATGCTGTGACCTTGGAGACAGGCCTCGCCTGCATCCAGCTACTAGTTTTTAATTCTGGAGCCGGCCCCTGAACCAAGTACATTGCATCGCTTCTTTAGCTCTACTTGTTTTGCGTTTTGGACGCGGCTGCAGTTTTAAAGAGACCAAAAGTACCTCTCATTAGTTGTTTGTTCAGAATGCTATAATGCTGTCTATTTGGGCCTACGCTGGTGTAGTCTTAGTGTGTGTGTGTGCAGGACACCTCACACTGAATTCATGGCAAGTCGTTGTTGCTGGTTTTTGTGACTTCAAGAGGCAGGTAATGGGCAGCGGAGGTGTTATTGATGCGTTGGTGCGAAGCCAAATAAGTGGGGCTGGGGCTTGGGTGCATTTGACCAGAATTCACTTCATTTTGTTGGTCGGCACAAGTGGTTTGGCATAGGTGTTGGTCGGGAGAAAATGATATATAGAAACCAATTGGAGGTGTTAAGACGGAGAGAGAGAGAGAGAGAGAGAGAAAGGGATGTGTCTTGGAAGGGCCTGAGTTCACACGAACATAATTTATACGTACACTGAGAATCGCTTGGTAAGCCTGCTGATATTTTGTAGATCGACCGGCTCTTTGATTATTTAGAGGTTGTGGCAAATGTGCCCTCAGAAGAGGGGCCGACTGTTTGTTCAATGTGCAAGGCCGAAGTCTGCAAAGTAGAGACGCGGAACACAGTACTACACAGCAGAACCGCACGCAGCACTTTGCCGGGAAGGCTATCGCTATTAGGTTGGAGGCCATTACTATTAGGAACAAGAAGCTGCTAGGAACAAGAGCTTTCTGAGACAAATCTCTAGGCCCTTAGAGTGACAGGAATTCAACAGCAGGTTTTGGCTCTGATGTGGACCCCTTTGGGGGCGACATGAGGCCGACCTGGGTCGCAGCACGGCATGGATGGCGCTGCCTTGGCGCTTAGGAGGTGCTTGCAGAGAGCCTTTCCAAAATGGCTGAGGAGTTGCACGATCCTGGCAGTAGCTTGTGTCCGTTTGGCTTGGTAGCCCTACCACATCCGCCTTATGCAGGCTCGTGAGCAGCAACTTGGGCGCATTCAGGCAGCCCTTAGGGGTCAGCGGGTAGCACCTGACAGAATTACAGAACCAGTGGCAAAGTGGATTCCAAAGGCAGAGCTTAAGAGTCCAGGCCCTTAGCTTTGTTATGCCAATTGTGCTTCCACTTGAGCATTCAAGACAGCTGTCAGCCAAGTTAGATCGCCAAATGCCAAGGCATGGAGTGTCATTCCACGAGAGAATTGTTTGTGCTCCACATGGCGAAGGTGAGGACAAGAAGATTGGGATCTGGGTGGTTTGTGCTTACTCGCTGTGGGACATGCCACACTTGCGCATTAAGAACTATGGCTGGCCTTGCTAAGTGCTGTTTGAATTGCTAGTGGTATTGGGGTCAACTGAATTGACTGGCCAGGAAAGCGGCCCACGCTGGCACAGGCAATGGAAAGAGGCCACGGGACATGCAAGATAAGCAAACCGGAAAGGTTTTCGTTGGATTTCGTAGGAATGGACAGATTAAGTGCGGAATAATATATTGTGAATAGTAAATGTATGTAAATGTCATGTGTGAACTTATAGTTTACTTCAATCCATTGTGATTTTGACCACAATGTTCTGAAGGGTTTTCCAAAAAGGCGTTGACGATCCTTGAGAAGCTTCCGGAGCTGCGCCGTGACAGCATCTACAGGATCATCAGCGCCCAGGAAACAGGCCAGGTTTTCCATAGTTTGTCAATGCTCAATTCAATGCTTGTCATGTTTATTGGCCATCGCTTGTCAACTTTCAATGCTTGTCATCGCTCATAGTTTGTCAATGCTTGTCAACTGTCCCACACTTCTATTAGGTTGGAGGCCATCGCTATTAGGTTGGAGGCCATAGCTATTAGATTGGAGGCCATCGCTATTAGGTTGGAGGCCATTGCTATTTGGTTGGAGGCCATCGCTATTAGGTTGGAGGCCATCTCTGTTAGGTTGGAGGCCATCTCTGTTAGGTTGGAGGCCATCGCTGTTAGGTTGGAGGCCAGCTCTGTCAGGTTGGAGGCCATCGTTATTAAGTTGGAGGCCATCGCTATTAGGTTGTCAATGTGTTTTTTCTAAGCCCTGACAATGAAGCTGGCCAGGTCGACAATGGACAGTCGCGGCTTGTGTGCTCACTCACTTGAGAATATGCAGCATCCAACAGGACGGAACTCGTTTGTGTTGAGAGCTTGACAATTTCTTGAGATGGCTCAGACAAGACTGTTATTGCTGTTGGAAAATGACCCAGGCACCAAGTGCCGAACAACGGTGTTTCACAGGAGATGGCCACCATGCTCCCAGCCATCAGTGTATTTGGGAGGTGCTATTTGTGGACGATGGCCGTGCAAACGTTACGAGGAGCACAAATGAGGCACTTGGAAGCAACAGCACTGTCATACAACGCTGTAGTGTCAGCCAGTGGGAGGGATCCCAACACTGCCTGGATGCAATGCTTGGGCATGTTATCCGAATTTGCCGACAGAGAACTACAATGGACAACGGCTTCTGTAAATTCAGCAATAACTGGCTGTGGCAGGTTGCAGGGTTGGCAACAAGCTTTGCATTTGCTTCAGGAAGTGCAGAATCGCAGTTTTCTGACGAACACAATCACCGCCGGCGCAGCTATAAGTGCTTGTGATTCGAGTGCACAATGGCAGGTGGCGCTGCTTTTTGCAAAAGCTCTTCAGGAATCAACGCTGCAGCATGGCCTCACGGCATACAGTGCAGCCGTCAGTGCATATGCGACAAGTGGGAAGTGGCTGTTGTCCCTGGAGCAGCTGTTTCAACTGAAACAGTTGAATTTAGTGCCCACCGTTATTGCACCCAGTGCGGCGATCAGTGCTTGTGAGAAATGCAAGCAATGGTCGACGGCACTGAGTATGTTCAAACAACTGCAAGCAAGGAACATACATGATTTGATCATGTATGCTGCGGCTATTCGTGCTTGCGAGAAGGGCAAGCAGTGGCAGTTTGCACTTGGCCTTTTTGCTGAATGTGAACTGGAAAGAACACTGTTAGGCTCCAATGTTTACAATGCTGCAATCAGTGCATGCGAGAAATGCAGCGAATGGGAAAGAGCAATTCTCCTGTTTTCTAAGCTCGGCGTGCAGCGTTTGAGGTATGACATCATCACATACAATGCGTCAAGCCGTTCATTTATTGAGGGTTTTCAAGGAAACAGTCCAGGAAACAGTACTGCCAATCAAACAATAGCTATTGTCAAAATAGAGTTTGGAAACGATAAGTAGGTCCGGTCTGAATGTTTGACGGGACTCCAGTTATCTTCCAAGAACGTGGCCTAGGCTTCTGCTTTTTCAGAGTGCAATTGTGTGGCCCAGCGTCTCATCAATCTCAGGCTGCCATTAGTGCCTGTGGCAATGGTGACCAGTGGGAATTTGCGTTGGCATTATTCCAAGAATGTGAGTTCAACAGCGTGGAACGGTCAGTGGTAACCTATGCTGTGACTGAGCACAAGCAGTGCGGCATGTTTGATGTCAGATGGTGTTATAGCATAATTGTTGGCAAATTACAACTCTTTTTCTCACAAATGCGGATTCCTTCATCCAGTTGAGGCCAGCATCTCTGCATGTGAATCTTGTGGGCTTTGGGACCTGGCGCTTGATTTGTTTTGGGCGTGTCAGAGATCTGGCTTGCAGCAAAGTCTAGTTTTGTACAATGCAACTATGAGTGCTTGTGAGAAGGTTGGGCGATGGGAAATGGCACTTGGTATGATGTCAGAACTGCACGACGTTGGCTTTCAAGCTAACAGCATCACATGCAACGCTGCTCTAAGTGCCTGCGAGAAGGGCAATCAATGGCAACGTGCCCTTGTTTTGTTTCAGATGCTGAAAACCAGTGGTCAGGGGACATTTGTGACTCATTGTGCCGCTTTAGGTGCCTGTGCAGAAGGAATTCAATGGCTGTTGGCCTTGCAAGTACTTGGCAATATGAGAGAAGTGCAGATGCATTCTTTGGTTGCGTCATGCATGGCAGCACATGCTTGCGAATTTAATTTTCAAACTAGTAAATTTAGAATGGTTTTGGCCATATTGGAAACCGATCTATTAGAATTGTTAAATGAAAATATAATTTAATTGATGGTAATTCAATATTTCTCCGATGATAATAGATAGAAATATATTTAGTGATATTAAATATATTCTCAATTTTTTAAATATTATGTATATTGAAGGAAACTAAAGCGCCATTTTAGCCTCAAGTTGCGGCAACCATTTCTTTGTAGTTCTTTACGCTATTGATACCCCTCCTTGCGGTTTCTGCTATCTTCTCGGAAGCTTGATTTTTGATCGTATTGTACTTTCTATAGCCTTAACGTGCTGAATGTTGACAGATATTTTTGTACCTTTGGCTGTACTTTCTTGCTACTTCAATCATAGAGGCTAGGATACCTGGTCCCAAATCTAGGGGATATGGACGCCCAAGCTCTAGTTTACATTCAGAGCTCCTCTATAATGTTTAGCGCGAGGGTCATCTAGGATGTTTCCGTCCTGGATAGGAGTGGAATAGGTACCCGAGAAATCCTGTATAGCTCCACGAAGCTTTACGAGGTATGGTTATGGATGGAGAGGCCACGGCCTTGTGATCGCCCGGGCGCATACAGTGCAGATTAAGCGGGCTTATAAACGTGCTTGTTACAGAGCTGTGCAGCATGGATGCATAGCATATAGAAATCCGCCCGCACCGAAGCTGCCGAGGCGTTTTTATAAGGCACGCATTATACCGCAAGTACAGCAAGTACTAATAGCTTTAGCTAGGGGGGGGGACCACTTTCGCTCTAGAATCCTGTGTTTTTTTTTCACGTTTTTGGAGCCGGCTTAAAGTGCTGGAAGATAAATTCGTGCTAATATTTGCTATTTTGAAGCCTTTAGGGATACAAGAAATGCAATTTTCTGCTTTGCATTATCTGCATCATCTGGACATTTGGCTGAACAGGTTCCCCTAACGGGGCTCAACATAGCTTCCATATTGCGTAACCACTATTTAACGGACGTGTCTGCGAGATAGGGACTTGAACGTCCGGGTACGTGGCTGGTCAGGAGCAGAGATAAGTAGATCAGGTCCAGGAACGGTAACATTATCTCACGAGCATAGCTCCCATATGGTCGAACACAACCCCAGAAGTCACTATCTCAAGTATGCTTCTTCGAGATAGGTACTTGAACGTCGTAAACGTGGCCCGACGAAGGCTCAAAAGGGATTGGAATAGAGTGAAGATATTGCCTAACATAGCCCTAGAAGTCACTATCTAAAGGAAGTGTCTGCGAGATAGGGATTTGAACGTTATAAATTGGAATAAAAAACACCCCCCTAACGTGGCCAAACATAGCTTTCATATTGCCTGACACGTTGGGCCATGTTAAATCCCTATCTCGAAACATGGAATCTATGCTCGGCCACGTTGGGGAGGGGGGGGCACTTCCGATTGGCCCCTTCTATGCGGTGCAGGCGGTTACCGTCGCGAAGCGACGTGAATAAGTAGGTTATTTTTGCTTTAGATGCACCTTGGCACTTCAAAGAAGCTTTTCGCCAATGACTACGACCCCAAATTTAGAAGTTACTTACTATTGCCTTTCTTGGGATTCGTTGTATGACTTGGAGTGCATCGAGGTCCTTGGTATACGAAGAATTCTTCCATTTGTGTAGGAGACGGGATGGCACATGAATGCCACTTGGAACGCCTTCGGGTGGTATTGCCTCTCCACTGCTGATAAACACGCATCCATTCTGGTGTTCCTTGACAACGACGGAATAGATTGCCTTAGCAATACACATTGCCGCCAGAGTGCTATAGCTTCGCCTTATTCTCGATCGTACTTATGATTTCTTGGTAGTATATTAATACTCTTGGAATATGCAGAAAGGTGTAGTTCCGCTTCTGGCCAAGCGAGCTCATTTTTGGCAGTGCCTGACTTAGGTCCTTAACCACATTCCCAAATATCACATGAAGATTTATTAGGGGATTTTAATGCGACACTCCCTTTGGCTCGTCTATACATTAGGAGTCTAGATGAACGAGTCAATGGCACATCCTATACGGACCGCGATGTGTTCCAACAACTTCTTCGAGCTTAGGATTTGATTGCATTGCATTGCAAGAGTTACTATATTACTACTTTCACCCACGGCTCAGACAATATTAAGTTTAGTATAGATGCATGCCACCACAGGTGGGTTTTGAATTTGTAAGGAATTTTGGGATTCTTGGACCACATCACCACCTTCTGATCGTGGTGTTGTCTAAATGGTTCGGAAATGTCTTTTTTCTCTGCAATAGTATTGATAGATTTGCGATTCGACAAGCCAACCAAGATGCTACCCCCACTGGGCCTGTATCCGTGACTGTATTGATCACCATCAATCTCGTCCTGGATCGAAGCTAGAGGAGTCCATCCGTGCTTTAGAGAATACCATTCGTATATTGTGTATCCAATATTTTCCTAAACGGAAGTTACCTGCACCGTCGGACGCCCTGATCCCCTCCATCTCCGCTAGGATGTGGAACGCTAGGAAATATGCATTCGCCATACGAGGCCGACGGCTTCAGGATCTTTTTCGGTGTTGGGCACATATCACAACCTACCATGCCTTGCATAAAGCCATTCGTAAACAAAGTCGAATTAACAAACGAGCTAAAATTGTTAGGATGCTTTCAGATGGAGCCGATCTCGCCCTATAGGTGAAACCTTCGACTGGCTCAGGAAAATCCGGCAGCTTTGTCAGGAAAATCCGGCAGCTTTGTCCTAAACAACCTGCTCGACGCATTCAGCTGTTTGATGCCCATGGTATGCCCCTGAATCCAACTCAGGACCTCATTGAATTAGAGAAATGCTATATTGATTTGCTTGCTGATCCGGATCTATCTGCCTTCGATTCGCGTCCCTTTCGTCGACTTCCGTTCACCCGTCAGGACGTGCTACTGCCTTACTAGGCACCAAAGCTTCAGCGCCGGACGGGTGGATTATTTTTGACATAGTCTCAGTTATATTGCGCCGAGGTGAAGAGCCATATTGCGGGCATTACCAGTCGTGGTTTCGAACAGGCGGGAGCCGTTTTCTCACAGAAGATTGCGTTCGAGCGATTCCCTATCCGCATGTGCCTGATTGACATGGATTGAAATATTTATCTGTTTTGGCTTGTTGCTCATGATCACCTCATGCTTGCTTGGAGCCGGATTGTTGGAATAGCCTCCAATTGTTTTGTTCCCCTGGAAAGCCATTTTTGAGTTGATTCGATTCCAATATGAGCGGAGAGCTCTTTTTGCCGGAAATGAAAAAACAAAAGAAAACTAGATTAGTATTTATAAATGTGTGTTAAGGAGGTGTTTTTAATTTGTTATTGTGGTGTGTTTTTTTTCTCTATTTTTTCTTTATGTATGGCGTTTTTTATTTTAAATATTAATTTAAAATTTGTAAATTATAAATTGAATTGTATATTTATATATTATAAGAGTAAAATATATGTTTATTAAAAATATGTATTAATATTTAGAAAAAATTGTAGTTATTAATAAATAATTAATATTTATATATATATATAAATTTTTATAAAAGTAAAAATTCTTAATATTTTTTTAAAAAAACAATTAATAAATAATAATTATTTAAAAAATAGATATATACCCAAAATATTTTTTGATATATTTATTTAATTTTAATTCTTGAACCACACCATGGATAACTATTCTTACCCAACGAAGGCGGACTTAAGACGCTTTGTCGGCTAAACGGGCCAAATTCCGTTTTTAAGCCATGGATAACGAGATGCCGGACGTGTGCGTGTTCGTCCTAGATCTTTGGGTTGAAGCTTTGGTTAATTGCTCGGATTATCTTTCCCCCCATGGAACGCATTCGAGCCTGTCTTGAATACTATCGAATTTTCACGTAGGCAGGAACGCTGAAACGTCACATGAGGCAGGTACACTAGGTCTTTTGCGAGTCTGACGACGTTTTTTTTTGCCTTTACGAGACGCCTGGCAAGGACGTTCGATATACACGCATTGTTCATACGTCTTCGTTGATTTTTACAGATTTCGTGACCATATCAATAAGCATACGTGTCCTCGTTTTGATCCTGCGCAGGAGTCGATCGTGTCGATTATTAATCGATCCGATCTCAAAATGCATTTGCGACACAAGTTAATCCTAGGTCTGTGGTTGAATGCAGCCTTGATTAATGAGATTGCCAATCACTGCACTTTTTGTCACATACAGATTGCTGCTCGATCGATTCGCAAGCATTTTACGGAATGCTATTCGGACCTGGTTTATCTTGCCGACCACTTTCGTGATTATGTTTAAGGCATGGCTAACATAGGAGGAGGCCGTGGCAGATATAGCTTTTGTGATAATGAATGCCGCGATACCAGAACGCATGAATATGGGGTCCTTTTTTAGATCTCGTTCATGATGGGACACACCTTTCAACCTGATCACTTCTCCATCATGCGTGTACCGGAAATACCGAACCTAGCTCCATCTCCATTCCACCACTGACACCGGCGCAGCCAGGTTCGAATGCAGCATCGTCGTCCACGACGACTAGGCCCTGATCCGCCTGTCCATCGTGCCATTGCGGTTGATGAGTCACATACCTCTCCATCACCATTGCATGTATGTCCCTACTGTCACCCACGCTTCTTGACAGCCACAGGCCTTGAGAGACACATGTCAACTCACGGACATGAAGTTCAGGCAGATGGCAACCTAGTTCGTGCCGCCAAGATTCCAAAACTTGACACAGTCCCGGCTATGTTGACCAAGCCCAGTCAGGTCATTGTGACCCCGTCCAAGTCGTTTAAATGCCCCTTGTGCTTGGAAATGATTGGCCGTAAGGCCTTAGCCGGTCACCTGTCTAAGGAGCATCAGGTTGTGAAGCCACCGTTCTTTATCTTCTGCCCAAGTCGTGACATGACACCGGGACGTTTGGCATGTGCACGCTGCCATACCACCTACACGACCGAAGCTGCCCTTCGATTGCACTACCAAAGAGCCAGTTGTCCCATTTTGTTGATTGAATGGGTCAAAGATCAACACTTTGGACCAATGGTGACGCCACCTGTTCTCACTGAGGCCCCGGAAGCTCCGGACCCGGAGCTCC